AACAAAGGATTGGGGAACTTCAGACGAAAATTCTATTGAATTTCTAGACAAAATACGAGGACTCACGACTGATATGGATGAAATAATGGTATTCCTCGATGTTGTCTCTCCTTTCACGTCCATACCACTTGATTTGGCAAGACGATGCACAGAAGAATCCCTGCAATCCTACGTCATCGATGTTCCTGCATATGATTTGCTTAAACTCTTGGACTTATATCTAGAAACAAACTTTTCGTCCGCACATAAGTACTATCGACAGCTGAAAGGATCTCATATGGGGTCACCTACTTCTGGCTTTCTTACTGAGGTCATAATGCAAAAATTAGAGACTATGGTCCTACCAGTATTGAATCCCAAATTATGGGCACGCTATGTAGATGGCACCTTTGTTATTGTCAAGAAATATAAACTGGAAACTAAAAAACTCTGGCGAACACTTCCTTACTTCAAAATGTGCCCAAACTCATTGAAAGACACACGAGGATGCAGCGAATAAAAGTGGCGCACAAACCGATGGTCTTATAAATTCAAATATATTTTATATAAAACACACAAAAATATGCTTTCTCTTACTTGTTTGGTATAAAATCACATTTTCTTTGCATTTTATACCCAAAGAAAGGTCAAATGTTAGTTTTAAAAAGTTTCTAATTAGGAGATTTTGAAATCATACGATGTCCATACATACAGCATCACAAGGGTCCGTTTACTAATGCTCCTCATGACATGTACAACATATTCGGCATCCATTGAAGATTTTATGAACTCCTGCAGTATATTCCTAAAGGCATAGGCAATATATGATTTTCATTAAGCCGAAGGCATACACCTTGACGACTGAAATCGCTAGACGCTAATGCAAAGGCTGATCAGGCCCGAAATTACTCGGGATTTGGGAAACTTTTTCAAAACTTCAATATACACTTTCTTTGGGTATAAAATGGGAAGGAAAGGGGGTTTTCTACCAAAAGGAATAAAAGAAAGCATATCTGATGCATGTTTTCCATAAAATATATTTGAATTTTTAATACCATCGAAGATCAAGGTGAAAAATGCATGCTAGTTAAGTAGACATTTTATTACCAATTGCGGTTTCTGCATGAGGTCAAAAAGTAGGTCCATTCAAAATCCGACATCCTAGCGAGTCCGAAATATTATAGGATTATGCCGCATGATAGTCAATATTACAAGCCGACCTAATTAGTCTTTCCTAACTGAAAACGCATTTCAGAATTTCGACCAACATTTCCTGAGATCGGTCACTCACTGTGAGAGCGTGAGGCTTGCTGGCGCAGTAGGCACCCGTCGTAGGGTCACTAGAGGGTCGCGTTTCTCCGGTCAGCAGTTCACCAGCAAAAAACGACTCCATCCGAATCTGCGTTAGAACTCTGACTGGCCAACGTACATAAGTACGCGGAGGATAAGCGTGGTGGAGGGGGGGGGGGGAGAAAAATGCAGGGGAACAATTTTATACATATTCTCACCAGGCTAGTTAGCTATGAAAATCGGTTAGGAGGGGGATTGGGAGAGCAGCCACTTAGACACGGCCAGTCAAAAAACCTCTGCCTCAGTTATGAAAATCAATGCTCTGCGACCGGTGGCCCACCCGTTACTCACTGGGAAAACGATAACGACCAAAAAATACCACAGAGGAAGTGATGCATCGAGTGGTGGTGGATTCATTAAATTTTGGGACCTATCTTGGCGTCCTAAGACGCGACACGGTGATATGTTGCGAGCTGGCCTGCTTCAGATAAGTGCACCCGAAACCAACTAATCAACTTTACCTTCCAGGAGTACGTATGCTACCTCATCAGTCAAGACTCCGGCATGACCAGTCTACCAAAAGGCGGAAACAGAAATTAAAACCAGACCGGCGGGCGTCTGGCGATCGATACGGCGAAGTCTGCTGTTGAAGATAAACCTCCTACGAAACCCAGACGGTGCTATACTGCACTGCATCCTCCATCGCGTTGACTGTCATCTGGTGACAGGCTTAGCCATGTGATCTGCAAAATGGTGATGTCTACTGGCGTTACCAGGGCTTGATAGCAAACCAGAGCAGCTTAATCAATCAGTCCAGCCCCCCCCCACCGCTTTCGGGTGGAGCGATTGATGAGTCATCGGTAGGCGACAGTGTGGCCATTTTCGGTGACTCCCAGGCCCAGATGGGTCATTGGGTGGTCGGTCAGTTGGGTGTTTGTCTGTGAACCAGGCGATTAGGGCTTCGCGCCACAGGCAGTGAATCATCCGTGCTGTGGACCCCGAGTCGAGCTTACAGACTCATCTGTAGTTTGAGAGTTGGCGATCGTCGTCTTAGAGACCACAAACGGGCTAGGTTGAAATATAACTACCTCCCCCCTGCCCTGCATGAATTCAACTCCAGGCCGCACCGTAGGTCGGGGACACGACAACACAAAACACCACTCCAAGGTCATGGTTGAATGAAGTTCATGATGCCGGCAGGACCAACCCCCAATAAGGTCATCCCATAATAGTACGCACATTTGTGCACTTTATATCAAGCCTTGAATTGTTCAAGTATTAGACCTTGCCATTACGGTTAAATATTGTAACATCTAAACAGAAGTACAGTAATCGACCCATCTCATGGAATATCGATCGAAATTTTGAAAGTCGTTTTCAATTGGAAAAAGTACTTAAATGGAGACGTAGTATTGATCACCATGCAGCATAATTCCACGGTATTTCAGTCATCTCAGGATGCAGGGTTTTGAATGGACCGCTTTTCGGCTGTCTGCGAAACCCGTATTCGACCAAAATTACTGCAAAACTAGTATGAACTGCTTCCAATGATTTTCTATGCACGAAAAGATCCTTTCTTGTAGGGTTACAAGATATCATACTAGCAGCACAGGTGCTAACTAAAAGCCCAGACACGTGTGTTTCGCTGATATTCTGCTGCTGCATATCAAAACTGCGAGGGGTCCGGCTAATCGGTGACTTTCCCACAATTCTCCGTCTGTTTTCTGGTAGATACTCCAGTTTACAAGTTCGAAGTCATATCTTTACAAAGTTTGTACTTTAAGATTGGGGAACGTTCGACTTTAGAAATGCTTCCCAGTTCTCGATTCATTATTGACCCGAACTGCCGATACAATTACACTTGAGGTTTCCAAACTTCAGGCTCTACGGTTTTCATCTAGGGTAAATCGCCTATTCCTCCACGAAATCAAGACGACACCATATAGGCTTCGCAAAGTTTCGCAGTGGGTGTGAACTATGTTGCATATTTCATAAGCAGCATTAATAAATGCACAGATACGATGCTGTATGAATGAAAACTTCATGATTTAAAAAACACCAATGTTATAAACTTATTAAGGCCGAACGCCCAAGCTCTCTAACCACTGAGCCACGGGCTTGTTGTCCTGTCGGTTGCGATCAGGTATTAGAAACAGTTCCACCGTGTGCTCCACAACAAGGTGGTATACAATGGTATAAACAATGCATATTCCCGATCGCAACCGACAGGACAACGGGCTAGTGGTCCAGTGGTAAGAAGCGTTTGACTTCTAACCAAAAGGTCGCGAGTTCGAACCCCGGGTGATTCACACTTCGGTGTTGGGTATGACTGGCTGGCGACGGCTAATAAGCCAGAAATGGCCATTCCAATCTCCCTTGTCCTTGTCGGTAATGTTGCTCCGCCTATGTCATGCGCCGCCGTGCGGCTGCTGGTTGGGCTCGAGGGAGAGCCCTGTGGCACAACTGGACGACTGAGTTTCGTAAGAAGATGCGTGAGCACCCTCCCCCCACCATTATAGATATATATATGTTCGAAGAAGAATGAGTCCTTTGGGAAAATGAACAAACTTTATTTCGTAAATTTTCGAGTCTGGTTCCCCAGCTCGTTGTCAGACGTGTTGTAAGTATGAAGAAACAGTCAAACTTTAAACATGTCCAAAAAATCGATATTGCTTTGTCAGGGCTGAGGACGGGTTAATGCTGTGGGATGATGTCCCGCCTTTTCCATTTTTCTTTGAGATTTGTGTACATGGCGTCGAGATCGATGAGTCGGTTGATGCATGAATCATCAGGGCTAATGGCCTCTAGGAATTCTCGACTTTTCTTAGGTGGGCAGGAGCCGACAATGCGTGTTTTATCCCAAGCGAATTCGTGCCCAGTTCAAGAGTATGCGTGGCGACTTGGGATATGTGGTCCCGCCTCTTCACTACCAATTGGTGTTCATTTAGGGGGTGCTCAGCGGTTGTTTAAGGGAGCTCACTCGTCCCGTTGTGTCATAGGGCCCTCCCTCGAGCCCAACCAGCAGCCGCACGGCGGCGCATGATATAGGCAGAACAGCGTTACCGACAAAGACAAGAGAGACTGGAATGGCCATTTCTGACTCATTAGTTGTTGTCAGCCAGTCATAACCAACCCCGAGGTGTGGAACACCTGGGGCTCGAAATTGCGATCTGTTGGTTAGAAGTCAAACGCCTCTAACCACTGGGCCACGAGCCCGTTGCCCTGTCGGTTTTCGATCGGTAATATACAATGGTAGGGGGCGCGCAACGATCGTTCTCACGGAACTCATTTGTTCAGTTGTGCCTTATAGGCTCTCTCTTGAGCCCAACCAGCAGCCGCACAGCGGCGCCTAATATAGGCAAAATAGCATTACTGAGGCTAAGAAGACAGAAATGGTCAGTCTTTGTCGTTGTCAGTAATGTTATTCTGGCTATATTACAGCCGACGCCTGGTCATGCAGGCAAGGACACACGACTATCCAGTAGCATTCTAAAGCAAACACTAACAAATCGCTTTATTAAGGGGATAAGACTTTCGCCCTCCGACCAATTTCTTCATATTCTAGAAGAACAATGGAATCAATTTTCACTGCAGGGATTCTGGAAATTGTAAAATCCTCGGTGCATGTGAATCAGATGCAAACTGCCGCCTTTGACACAATCTTGATTGTATGCACAATATTTTCTCAGGAAATAATCTCCTAGTCTGCAGTTAAATGTGGCAACTGTTTCTCAAAGGAACACTGCGTCAGGGAGCCCGATCCAACGAGCCTCTGCTAGAAGGTGTTCCATCGACGTCCGTGGTTTAAAGGGATAACCACGTAGACAGTCTGTCCCAGCCAATTCAAAGAAGTCATCAAAATCCAGGGCACACTCACGGCCTCCGACAATCCGGAAGGTTTGCATGAGGTCGCCGGGCAGTTGCCTGAAGGAAGCAAGTTACGTTCAATCCAGTCTGGCTTCGCCAGGCAGATGACCAGTGTTCAGCACATTCTGGCTTCCAGCCCGTAAAAAAAGTTTGCCATTTTTGGCCTACAAATTAGTGACTGACGTGTTTTTTCCCTAGTCACAGACACAGGGGCGTTAAGTAGGCTGGACGAAATGCCGGCATAAATAGGACCACTTGTAAGTCCGCCGCGGTTAACTGCGCCGTCTGCCTGTCTGACAACGCGGTTCCTGTCATTCTCGAAACCGCTTGTCCTACATCACAGTTAGTCGACACACGGATCCACAGAGGTCTACGTAGACTGCGACAATTAGGGCCAAGAGACGTACAGGGTCCATTTTGTAGGTACCGCTTGGTGTCTGTCTGACGCCGTCGCGACACACACACACACACACACACACACACACACACACACACACACACACACACACACACACACACGCAAAGTGGACAGGACACGGTGGATTAGCGTCAACGGTGGTGGCTGGCGCTCTAACAGCCAGTATTACTTCGAGGATTGAGGGACTGAAGGGCCTATCGACCGACAACGCGGAGAGTAAGAAATAGCGCCGGCATTTGAGATATCCGAAACGGCTAGGGCCACTTTCAACGACAAATGCCCGATCAGAATCACAAGCAGCACCAAAAGTCTTCGCTCCAATAACCGCGGACGATTCATGTGTTAACATGTTTGACAAAGTAGCGAGGAATCTTTAAAATGGTAAAGCCACGCGCAGTCTCGCGGTTTCTCTCGCCATAAGATGGGAACGCCCAGAAATTTGTGCAACCAATCGAGGCAGAATATCCAGACTTGATCCTTCCCTCCCCCTTAATATCAGTGTGTAACGGGTGTGCAGCGTTAAAATTAGCCCCTGTCCTTCACGGGGTCTGTTGGAACTGCGGCTTCGGCTGAAATGAGGCAAGAGCGTCAACATGACGCGAGACAAGTGAATACGCTATGTCCGCCCTGTCAGCGCGAGGCCGAAAACAAATCGGACGCTGTCCTAATTATGCAAATTTTTATGGTAAGTTGATCCTTTTGTCTGTCAGATAGTATCGACAAAGCAGAATGCGAAAAAGGTTGCCTGCCGGGGGCGGGGGCGATCTGATTGCTTACAGAATTCTTTCTGAGAAAGAGTCTCGTCGATGGTTTCCTACCTCTGACCTTTGTCCCCCTACTTCAGCTGAAACCATCTGGATTGAAATAAAAGGACGCATGGCGCCAACTCCCGCGGCTGCAAGTTATGCACTAACTAGACTGCAAAATACAACGGTTAGTCCCCGCTAGTACGTCGTCACTTGTTGAATGAGACAAAAGACAGACTGGAATAACAAAAACAACTTTACCGCGACAGTCATTGTGTGCACATCACTTTTCCTTCATTCCACTGTCCATGGGGTCGTGCTTTCCAACAAGGTCTTTATCTGATCCGCGAGCCCTTAAGGCACAACGGAACGAGTGAGTTCCGTATGAACGATCGGTGAGCGCCCTCTACCATTATATATATATATATATATGTTACGCCAGTGGTGGGTCAGCTGCGCCAGGTGTGTCTGTGCGCATGTTTGTGGTTCCGGTCCCAGCTGGTGGTCAGGGTTATGACTGGCTGAATGAAGGCAAACAAGCTCGAAACAGTGCTGTATTAATCTACCCCCAGACTCTGTCGTCTCCCCTCTGATATATGTATATATAGATATATGCAATGGCAGAGGGGCGTTAGTCGATCAGGATAAGGGGCCCGTCGTCCCACTTTGTTCCTTCCGGCCCTTTCTCGAGCCCCGCTAACAGCCGCATGACGGCCAGTAGTACAGGCAAAGAACAGCTCAGGCAAAGACAAGGGAGACTGGAATGGCTATACGGCTACTGGAGGGACTCGAGTTAGGGTCCCAAGGCACAAAGCGGGACGAGTGTGTTCCGTATCGGAATCAGTGAGCGACCCCTAACATTGTATATAACCTATCGTAAGCGACAGGACAATGAGCCCGTGGTTCGGTGGTTAGGGTGTTGGAATTCTAAATAACAGGTTGCGCGATCAAGCATTGGGGGTTGTAAAACCTGACGTATGGTATTGCTGGCCGATAAATGGCCATTCCAGTCTCCTTTGTCTTTGGCAAAAATGTTCCTCTGCATATATGTACATATATGTGTATTGGAACGCAGGCATCCCAAGAAATATAATTGGAATGCAAATATGTTCATTGGGAAAAAGAGAAAACTTTATTGAGTAAATTTTCGAAAATAGAAGATAGAAGACTCGTCGGGGAAAATTGAGATGAACTCGTGAATTTTCGAGCTGGTGACACCAACCCGTCGTCAGACGAAATAAACCGAGGAGAAAGTGAGATGGCCAGACTAAATGGGTTGGCAGCCACTGACAGGTAAGCAACTAATGTATGAAAGGGGGTGTACACATAATTAGGTTAGAATCTGTAGCAGGGGAGGGAAGGGGGAGCTGTTGCGGCTCCATGTGTTGGAGGGTAGAGCGGATGACGATTCGATGGGACTACGGACGGTGGACTTAATGATCGTCGATCCGGCATGCGGGCAGAGGTTAGTGAGTCAACGTAGAGGTGTTAGGGATTGAAGTTGCGGTTCACTGTATCTGGGGTAGGGGGCAGCGGAATAGTGCGATTCTACATGGCCCAGTATGGATTAGCGGCTGTTATTAGGTCGTGGGCGCAAGTCAGCGAGCCAGGCACGCACACCTCCATAATGAGCGCCCAGATCGACATGGCGATTGATGCGGGGGGGTGTTAGTGTCAGGCTTCGAGTAATTCTCGAGCCTGTTTGGTGTTTGCCAGGGCCTCGAAGCTTGGTACTCCAATGCTAGTAGTATCAACCGTCATGTTGACCTGGACGCCCATTACGAGGGACCAAGCTCACGACTTACTGCCCCCTGTCCTAATGCCACATCAGCGGCCGCTAATCCAGCCACCCGGACTCCAGTTGATACCCCATCCACCCTCCCTCTCCAGCACAGGGGTTCGTAATTGTTCCGCCTCCCCCCTCCCCCTAGCTCAGAGACCTATCATGACTCTGTGACCATACCTCTCATAGGCCAATAGTCTGTCTGTCCTGTCGCGCTAAATAGTCTAGTGTGACAAAATAACTTTCTTCCCTGTATTCATTTCGTCTGACGACAGGTTAATGTCACCAGGTCGCCAATTCACGAGTACAACTCGATTTTTCCGAAGAACCTCTTCCTTTTTTCTTTATATCGGCTCGAAATGCATACCACTGACCCTAAAAAGTCATGTCCCGGAGATTTAAATCCAAGTCCTGCACTGATTAATTTCTGAAATTATTCACCTGATTATTCTCTGGAGTTCATATACCAGAAACCGCTAGAGAACTCTGGGGGTCCTACTGAAGAGCCGAACCCCTCGCTGCTGTGTCACGCAGCGGCAGAATATCGGCGAAACACGTGTCTGGGCTTTTAGCAAGTATCTATGTCGGGAGTACGGTATAATGCCTTTACAATATATAATATTATATAATTAATATTTATAGAATTAATACTATATAATATATAAGAACACATAATAATGCAATAAAAAGGCGGGTTGAATCGGCCATGATTCGGTAGATTAAGGAGTTTAACGCAGGACAACCGTCCAACAACATAAACGCACCGTTGTCTAAATACTTTTTGTTTTTATTCCTCAGCACTCTGCCACTGAATCAAAATGTACCTATTCATGCGAAGGGCGTTCACCCCTATCAATTCTGGCTGCCACTTGGCTGCATACGAGAGGTCTGGATTGAATATCAAGACACAACGGGACAAGCATGTCTCGTAACCTGATCTAGGGACGCCCTTCTCACTACCTTGAAGTTGGTGATTATTAGATGAGAAAATCGCCAGCACACAAACCCCCTGCCTGAGACTAACAATTTTAACCTTGTGAACTTAGCTTTCAAGTATTATGACAACTGCTCAGACCCGCTTGCTTCGAAAGTTTTGCTGCGCTTTCCTTTTGCACCCATCGACAAGGAGGAATCGACAGCGCTGAGGAGGTTCACCCACGAACTTGCCAGAACAAGAAGAGGCTTCGAATTCTTTATTCTTCTTCTTCTTCTTCCTCCTCCTCTTCTTCTTCTTCTTCTTCTTCTTCTTCTTCTTTCAGAGATACTAAGTTACCACTTCGCCGTGCTTTTGAGCTTTTGCTGTAGCCGACTCGGTCAATCAGTTCTTGTCTCCGTCACAAGAACCGAGCATGCTTGCGTGGGCTTACCGTCCCGTGATAGCAAAATTAATGATTTCCTGGTCTTCTCATCACCGGAATCACCAATTTGTCCTCCAACCAGGTGTGCCGGAAGGGAGGTATGCTCAACGTCGCCTAGCACAAAGAACTGCCCTATCAGTGATTGTTAAAACTGATATGCTTCGCCTGATTCCCACGGTCTTTGTTACGGACAAGTGACGCTTCTGCTCTGCCGGTCAGATAGAACAAGGGCCATCCGCCTAACAAAATCTCCTACCTTCTCCTAGCAAGCAGGTTTGGATGAAATTTGAAGCGTCTGCAGTTCTCATATGCTACGGCGAGCTTACTTCCCACAACCGCCGACTTAAGGAAAACGATTGCTTATTAGCGAATGGCTGGAGAACGACTGCTAATTATCGGTAGCTGGTAGAAAGCTGACTGAAATTTGTCCTGGCCTCCCATTGAACTCACGATTGTCTTTGTCCCTCATTCTGTTCCTGTTAGGCCACGGGAATATGGACTGCCCTCGTAGTAGGGGTGGCCTTGCGCCAACTTCCACGGATTATGATGGTCAGAATTAATGGTGGGGTTATGGTCCGGATTAGGGGTAACGCTAGGACACATGAATCGGTGCCCCCACTCCCCTGGAGTTTACTGTAAGGCCATCTGTCGTACAGATGGGGTCCTCATTCCCGTGTCCGACCCAGTTCCTAGCCCGAACTCCAGCAATGCTGACGCTATCGAGAGGGAGTGTGGGAGAGAGAGACCAGCTCTTGCGAACTGTCAAACAAAGAATTAAGTAAAGGTATTATACCGTACTTCCGACAGGGATTCTAGCTACCTTAAATATTTACCTCCAATAAGATATTCCACATTGCAGCATTGATTCCTAGTTGCGTAAACTCGTAGGGGTCCGACGAGTACTCACTAGCTCGGCCTGAAAACACCACTACGACAACCATCAAATCACCAACCCAGTAGTGAGTTGGGTGAGAATCTCGGTTAATTAAGTGCAACTATCGAAAGACGGACCTGACTCCTGTTTTCCACGCCTATTGTTTTCCACTTGGTAGATCTAGGTCAGGGGGAGGGGCGGGGTGACTTGTCAAATGGTTTCGTTTGCACGCTTTAAGGAACGCCTGGCCTCCTCCCCACAACCGAACCATCTGCGAGTGGTTCGGTCCCTCATTGGATCCCCAGCATCCTCCATGCGGTTTCTGGTAATATGAACTCTTCAGAATAATCAAGCAAATAATTTCAGAAATTATTCAGTGCAGGACATGAAGTTAACCCTCCGGAACATGACTTTTTAGGGTCAGATCCGAAATAAATATTTGAGTCGGAGACAATCATCTAATATGGGATAACCACGTGATTTTGTTGTCTTCGACTCAAATGTTAATGGGAATTTTGTGTCTGACCCTAAAATGTCATGTCTCAGAGACTTTACTCCGTGTCCCGCACTGAATAATTTCTGAAATTATTCGCCTAAAGAATTGAGCCTCCAAGAATGCCAATATTGTACATCCGAAGATGGCAAAAATTTCTTACTCGACACTGTCCTGCTTATGCCAGACAGACTGTACGAAACGCTGCACATACCAAATAATCCTTTCTTCCGGCCTGACTAGTTTGGATTACCATCGGACAAGCATTTGCATTACCGTACCTCATAAAAGGGTTTCAATAACATTGCGACCTACTAGCGTAAGAGAAGACCCAAATCTGGGGAGGGGGCAAGCTGCCTTTGCGGTGGTGGTGGTGGTGATGGCAGCGGTGGCGGCGGCGGCGGCGGCGGTGGTAGTGGTCTGGAGAAGCGTAGTAAATCGTAACCACGAGTAATTTCGACATTGTCGATGGGCGAAGCATCTGGAGGCAAGGATGTAACAATTTTGTTGGTGCTATGGAATTTGAGAAGATTTTGACGTAAGGGCAAGAAGAAGTGTTTTTTGGACTTTAGGATTTGGCCCCCACAACGGACTGCGCTGCAGGTGTGTTTAACCAAGCAAAGGATTAGACGGGCTCACACCACGCGTCAGTCGGTATGAGAAAAACCCCATAGCTACTGCCGTACGGGACACACGATAGTTCGATCGTCGTCGCCGACGATGTCCACCGTGTGCGTCACTGAAAGGTGAAGCAGGCACAGTGACTTGCGCGTGAATTAGTTCATATTGAGATTAAACTTGCGCAACGTCTACAGCACTCTCTCCTCCCCACATCCCATCTGGATCCGGTGTCAAGACAGCGTCAAGAAGACCGGAGGCGGTGGGGGGCGCAGGTGGATTGCGCGGTCGAGCTTGCACCTTGGCGTTCCACCCCACATCCCCTGGTCCACACAGCAAATGACCAGGTTTTTGACCAATATCAGCAACAGCAACACCCCAGCAGGGGCCAGAGCGAAGAGGGTGACCGGGCAGCCATGTCCACCACCTGTATACCCAGAGGGAGTGCAAGCGCATCTACCGGCAGAGAACCACGTGTCAGGGAACTGCCAGCGCATAACATTCGGCGAGGGCCAGGGTTTGCTGATACTGGCATAGCACACGCTTTCAGACCGCTTGACCTAGCCGTACAGGGCAACGGCATGGTGTCACACGTAGACGTAGGATTTCACGTCAAGTCAGCCATTGTGGCCATTTCCATCACCAGTTCACTGACAATCTTGGACAGGCGACTGGTTCATGGGGAAAGGAAGAGAGAGAGAGTGAGGTTGACACGGGGACGGCGTCCATCTCCACGGCACTTCCAATCACACCTCACTAATAATAAACTAAACGCGCTTGAATCTATCATGACACGCTCAGAGTCGCGGCTTGGAAGGCTGCCAACTAACGGGGTAACTCGATCCTTCTCAGGGCCAAAAAGTCCGACTGCAGTGTGGCCTTCATGGCACTTTCACGTAATGAGAGATCCGTGCTGTCCTTGTGCAAAACTGGTACCGGTAGCGTGGATCAGATCGTGTGTCTCAGGCGGTGACGGACTGTTTGGCTTTGTCTGCTTCCAGCCTACCTCCAGTCATCTTGGCTAGGAGATTACTCCGTACGCGAATTGCCGAGCACGCAGCAGCAGCAGTGAGGCGGGGAGACGTTAGCTCTCAGTTGGCGTCAAATTCGATGGGGCCCGGCCGTATTTTCAAATTTCAAGAGGCCGAAGTCCTCGCAAGGGGTGACAACCGCGTGAGCCGCGGGCTGCTCGAGTCATGGTTCTCAGGCCTGCAATCCACCAACAAGCACAATGAGCTCCCGGTACCATATTACGTGCTGCGATTTTCCCTGGGCAGGAGAATCAGTCACGTGAGGAGGGCTCGGGCGAGCAATTATCACAGTGACAGTGAGTCAATTTGCCGAGCAATCGTCACACTAGCATCCAGCACGGATGACGAAATCACGGCGATTAACGACTCGGACTGACAAGCCACGACCGCATCAATTACGACCCCAGCGGGGATTGCGAGAACTTGAAGGAGCACTCGGATCATTCGTCGGCCGAGCTGGCGAGACGCGCAGTACTTCAGCATTGCGAGAACTGTTAATTGCAGAGCGCATACGGTCCCACGGCAGCCACGTGCTATAAATACTGCACCCCTTGTGCCACCATCACCTTTATCTGCGAATGTCTCTGATGATGGCGGTTCGAGTGAGAATCCGAAACGTCAGACCAATAAATTTCTTGTTCCAGTGATCGCCTCTCCTTCTTTCTGAACTGCTACCTGGAACTCGCCTGTTTGCTTCTATCAGCAGTCATCTTGGCATAATCGTGTCATCAGAGTCAGGTGAGTGAGGAGAGGACGATTGCGGGAGAAGCTGGGAGAGACTGTCTCATTTACAACGAAGTTCACGCGCAAGTCCCAGTACGGGGAGCACATTATGGATGTCGTCGCTCGCGACGGTTGTACTGTCATCGTGTGAAACCTGGTTTGGTCGTGGAGAGGAGACCAGGCGTTCCTTAACGCGTGCAAACGAGACCATTTGACAAGTCGCCCCTACTCTCTTAATCTAGCCCTCACCCAGATCTCTCCAGTGGAAAACAATAGGCGTGGAAAAAGGGAGTGCGCTCCGTCTTTCGATAGTTGCACTTAATTAACCGAGTTCCTCACCCAACTCACTATCGCGGTGCTGAATTGATGGTTGTCGTAGTGGTGTTTTCAGGCCGAACTAGTGAGCACTCCTCGGACCCATATGAGATTACAAAACTAGGAACCAATGCTGCCATGTGGGATATCTTATTGGAGGTAAATATTTAAGGTAGCTAGAATCCTTGTCGGAAGTACGGTATAATACCTTTGCTTAATTCTTTGTTTGACAGTTCGCAAGAGCTGGTCTCTCTCTCCCACACTCCCTCTCGATAGCGTCAGCGTTGCTGGCGTTTGGGGCTAGGAACTGCGTCGGACACGAGAATGAGGACCCCATTTGTACGACAGATGGCCTTACAGTAAACACCAGGGGAGGGAGGCACCGATTCATGTGTCCTAGCGTTAACCCTACTCCGAACCATAACCCCAACATTAATTCTGACCCTCATAATTCCCGGAATTAAGCTTGAGGCCACCTGTACTACGAGGGCAGTTTATGCCCATCAGGAACAGAATGAGGGACAAAGACAATCGTGGGTTCAAAGGCAGGCCAGAATAAATTTCAGTCAGCTTTCTACCAGCCACCGATAATCAGCAGTCGGTTTCCTTTGGTAGGCGATTGTTGGAAGGCTACCAGCCGCCGCATGTGTCAACTACAAGCGCCAAGGTTCATCCAAACCTACTCGATGGGAGACGGTAGGAGATTCTATTTGTCGGATGGTCCTAGTTCTCTCTAACCGGCAGAGCAGAAGCCTCACGTGCCCGTAACAAAGACCGTGGGAATAAGACGAAGCATATCAGTTTTATCAATCACTGATAGGGTAGTTCTTAGTGCTAGGCGACGTTGCGCATACCTCATTTCCGGGACACCCTGTTGGAGGACAAATTGGTGATTCAGGTGATCAGAAGACCTGGAGATCATTAGACCAGCTGTTACAGAGTGGTAAACCCCACGCAAGCATGTTCGGTGCTTGTGAGGGAGACAAGAACTGAGTGACTGAGTCGGCTACAGCAAAAACTCGAAAGTCCGGCAAAGTAGTAACTTAGTATCCCTGGAAGAATAAGGAATTCGGGGCCCCTCCATGCTCTGGTCGGTTCGTGAGTGATCTTTCTCAGCGCTGCTGATGCCTCTTCGTCGATGGGTGCTTTTCAGTTCTTCCAAAATCGCTTCTTCTCGAAACACAATATTTTCGATAGTGGAATCTCTCATGTTCTCAGAATTAGATGGGGTAAAGTCCGCTTCTCTTGTGAAAACGGATCGGAAAAATTGAGAAAAGTGCTCAGCCTTATTTGTACTGTCCGATATCTCCAAGCCGTCATCACCCCTCATAACAGGAATGGGATTCCTGTTACGTGTGCTTTTCCGCAAATACCTGTAGAGCAATTTCGGTGGAGCAAATTACTCTCAAAATCCCGTCGCCTCCTGAAAATCAGGCTTTTCACCTTATTTCTTTGAATTTTGTATTCTGTAAACGCTGCATTATTGTTGTTCTCGGGAAATTTTTTCCATAACCTACCTTTCTTGTTGACCTCCCTTTTGAGTTCTCGTGTAAGCCACTGAGGGCGGTTGGATGTCCTAGGCTTTGATAAGGGACAGTGGTTCTTCATTAGATGCAGTAAACGATCCTTGAATAAATTCCACTCCTCGTTAACGTTTCCGGAGAAGAGAACATCCCAGTCTATTTGTGATGCCTCAGCTCTCATTTGGCGAAAGTCCCCTTTCCATATATTTGGCCTCGTATTGTCTTTTGTACACGGTTCAGAATACAGCAAGTAATCGCATAAAAGCACTGCATGATCACTTCGACCGAGCGGGGGTAGGTAGTACACCTCGTCTATACTGTCAGGATCTTTGGTAAAAACGAGGTCCAGACAACTGGCCTGTTGCCCTCCACGAGCTCTAGTTGGAAACAGGACATGTTGTGTGAGTAGAGCTTCTAGAGTTGTCTTTAGTAGATGGTAATCGAAGGTATTCATCGAGCATTTCGCATGCATATCGTTCCATTGAATGCATGGTGCATTAAAATCCCCCATGATAACAACGTCTGGTCGGCTGGCGATCTCTTTTATGCTTTTCAGTAGACAAGTATCTGGGTCGGGATCCGCCTGCCCTTTCGCCAAAATCTTCTCAAATTCCATAGCACCAACAAAATTGTTACAACCCTTGCCTTCAGAAGTTTCGCCTATCGACAATGTCGAAAATACTCGTGGTTGCGTTTTAGTACGCTTCTCCAGACCACCACCACCACCGCCGCCGCCGCCACCACTGCCATCACCACCACCACCACCACCACCACCACCACCACCACCACCACCACCACCACCACCACCACCACCACCACCACAAAGGCAGCTTGCCCCCCCCCCCAGATATGGGTCTTCACTTACGCTAGTAGGTCGCAATGTTGTTGAAACCCTTTTATGCGGTACGGTAATGCAAATGCTTGTCCGATGGTAATTCAAACTAGTCTTGCGTACTCACGGCATGTATCACAGGATCTGAGGCACTGACCGCCGGAAGAAAGGATTATTTGGTAGGGACAGTGTTTCGTAAAGTCTGCCTGGTATAAGCAGGACAGTATCGAGTAAAAATATTTTGACGTCTTCGGGTGTAGAATACTGGCACTCCTGGAGACTTAAATCTTTAGGCGAATAATTTTAGAAATTATTCAGGGCAGGACATGAAGTAAAGTCTCGAGACATGATATCTTAGGGTCAGATACATAATTTCCGTCAACATTCGAGTTGAAAACAACCAAATACGTGGTTAATCCACATTAGGTGATTGTCTTCGACTTTAATATTTATTGACCTTTCAGGTCTGACCCTAAAAATTCATGTACCAGAAACTTGAATCCATGTCCTGCGCTGAATAATTTCTGAACTTATTCGCTTGACAATTCTCAGGAGTTCATATACCAGAAACCGCATAGAGAATGCTGGGGGACCCACTGAGGGGCCGAACCACTCGCAGCTGGTTTGGTTGTGGGGAGGAGACCAGGCGTTCCTTAACGCGTGCAAACGAGTCCATTTGACAAGTCACCCCCTCCTCCCCCTGACCTAGATATCTCCAGTGAAAAACAATAGGCGTGGAAAAAGGGAGTGCTCTCCGTCTTTCGATAGTTGCACTTAATTAACCGAGTTTCTCACCCAACTCACTACTGCGCTGCTGATTTGATGGTTGTCTTAGAGGTTTTTTCAGGCCAAACTAGTGAGTACTCCTCGGACCCATATGAGATTACAAAACTAGGAATCAATGCTGCCATGTGGGATATCTTATTGGAGGTAAATATTTAAGGTAGCTAGAATCCTTGTCGGAAGTACGGTATAATACCTTTGCTTAATTCTTTGTTTGACAGTTCGCAAGAGCTGGTCTCTCTCTCCCAGCGTTGCTGGCGTTCGGGCTAGGAACATGGACACGGGAATGAGGACCCCATCTGTACGGCAGATGGCCTTACAGTAAACTCCGGGGGAGGGTGGCACTGATTCATGTGTTCTGGTGTTAGCCCTCATCCGTACCATAAACCCAACATTAATTCTGACCCTCATAATCCCTGGAATCTAGCGTAAGGCCACCTGTACTACGAGGGCAGTCAATGCCCACCAGCAACAGAATGAGGGACAAAGACAATCGTGAGTTCAATGGGAGGCCAGGACAAATTTCAGTCAGCTTTCTATCAACTACTGATAGTTAGCTGATAACAGATGCTTTCCTTAGGTAGGCGGTTGTGGGAGGACTGCTCACCGCAGCATGTGAGAACTGCAGAGGCTTCATGGTTCTTCCAAGCCTACTCGCTAGAAGACGGTAGGAGATTCTATTTGTCGGATGGCCCTGGTTCTATCTAACCGGCAGAGCAGAAGTGTCGCTTGTCCGTAACAAAGACCGTGGGAATCAGGCAAAGCATATCCATTTTAACAAGCACTGATAAGTAGTTCTTAGTGCTAGGCGGCCTTGTGCATACATCCTTTCCGGCACGCCCAACTGGAGGACAAATTGGTGATTCAGGTGATTAAAAGACCAGAAAGGCATTAGTTTCAGCTGTCACGGAGCGGTAACCCAATGCAAGCAATTTCGGTCCTTGTGATGGAGACAAGAACTGAGTGACCGATTCGGCTACAGCAAAAGCTCAAAATCCCGGCAGAATGGTAACTTAGTATCTCTGGAATTGGAAGGAATTCGGAGCCTCTTCTTGTTCTGGCCGGTTCGTGAATGAACTTTCTCGGCGCTAATGATGCCTCCTCGTCGATGGGTGCAAAAGGAAAGCGCACTAAAACTTTCCAAGCAAGTGGGGTCTGGGCAGTTGTCATGAAACTTGAAAGCTCCCCTCCCCCTACTCGGTAATAAGTTTACAAGGTTGGAATTGTGAGTCTCAGGCAGGAGGTTCGTTTGCTAGAGAAGTTTCTCATCTAATAATCACCAACTTCATCATAGTGAGAAGGGCGTTGCTAGATCAGGTTACGAGACATGCTTGCCCCCTTGTGTTTTGGTGTTCAATCTAGAGCTCTCTTAAGCAGCCCTATGGCAGCCAGTATTGATAGGGGTGGACGTCCTTCACATGATTTGGAGTATTCGTTATGCCAGTCGAGAGGACAGCGGGTCTTCGGCTCATTGGTAGACTATTGGACTTCAAAACGGTAATGACGGGGTATGCAACTCCCTGGATGGTCGGTGTGCTTTATACCGTCTTGCCTGACAGTAGGCCGCGAAAGGGGTTATGTAGGAGGGAGATTTTGACCTTCAATAGCGTTGCCGATATTAAATTTGCCCGTTTTGGCCTCAAGGTTAGGGTTTGGACATCGGTTAAAACGAGTGTTTGGGTTATTCTTGGAAACAGGGTTTTCAGGCTTGGGCAATTGTTTGAATTTGGTTTGGAGGCTAGGGTTATGGCATTAAGGCTTGGTTTATATTGCGGTTACGTTCGACTTTTTCTTAAATGCTGATTGGTTACAGATTTTCCACTGAAGGCATGACCATGGTTGTCGTTAGGTATGTAGCCAACAGCGGTCTCCCCAAAGGGTTTGCATACCACATTCTTGCCTTCAAAACATTCAACGATCAAACGTCATCCTGGGGGGTGAGGGAGTTGGGTATTGAGAGTTGGGATTCGAACCCCAACAAAGCCCCCATACGCCTCTTGATTTTTTGTTTGACTCCTGTACCCGAAGACAGGTACTCAACAGGTCGAAACAAACGGGGACTTTCTTTGTGTGGACCAGAGTTGCCGCAAAGTCACCCTAGTCGTTCAAGTCTGCCAAAAACAAATACTAATTAAGTAAATCTGGTAGTCATCTGGTAGATTCAAGATTAATTGCTTGGAAAATCCTGATTGAGCAGTCAGCTTACTGTATCCGATTTGGTGAGCTCCATACCCTGGAATAGCCTTGACCCATGTGAGATTAAATTCACGGCTCCTAGTGGGATCTCTTAGGTCAGGGGTCTAGAGCGCTGGCTGTACTCAAGCTTTGTCCTTACACTCGTGACTTTGTTTCCCACCGAGTCCGCAGGGATGCTTCACAATTGGATCAAGTGAATTATTCAAATCTGCCAAAATACCTGTCAAGTCCGCTAATATGATTGGAAAAACTCAATGATATTAGCACCACCGACAGCAAGGGTAGTGCCTGACTACAGCGTTGACGTACAGAGTTGGGGCATTGGTTATACTCAAGCCATGCCTTTTCGTCCGTGGGTTCGAATACCCCCGAAGCTGCTAAGTTTTTTTACAATTGGGCCATTGTGAAAAGTTCTCAGAAATAGTCATCCTAGTGTCCTTGTCTTTGCCAACAAAAACCCCGCCCTTATCAACTACTGTAGACCCACAACTTAAAAGCCGGAGCGGAAACGCTAATTTCCCTCCTATACGCAGGATAGACCGCTGCACGTTGTTCGACCAAAACTACGATGGCCTGCACAGAGTTTATTACTGTATGACTGTGAGTGTGTCGTGGCGTAGAAAATGAGAACAGGTTGGGAAGCGATATAACAACATTGAAGTATCGCTTGATAAATTAAATCCTCGCTACCCTATAAAATTTTGAAGAGGTTCGCGAAAAAGTGCAGCCATGGGTTTCTGAACAATGGCTGTTCAGTTTGCCACCATTACCCTCCACATTCAGTCTCTCCTTATGGAAAAAAATGCACAGAAAATAGGCAAAAGTGATTTTGCTCGTTTCATCTCATATCGGCATCGTTAGATACCTAGCGAATTCAAAAAAATCCCGGCTAGATCGCAGTTCTTAGCCAGGAAAGGGAAGCCGACGGTGACCCTAACCCTAATCCTAACCTTAACGCTAACCTCAACATTAAACGTTAACCCTTAACCCTAACGGCAACCTAAACCCTAGTCCTAACCGAAATCGTAAATGTAACGGTAGCCCGTAGGCAGAGCCTTAACTGAAATACCTAACCGTAATACTGAAACCTAATCATACGCTCAAACCCTAACCGTAACCCGAAAACCTAAGCCTAAATGTATAAACCTAACCCGAAAATCGGTAACTATTAACCAGTACCTTAATACTAACCTCAACCGTAAAATGGAAGCAAAATGGGTCACATGTGATTATGGAGCTCCACAAAATAGCTCCAGTAAACAAATCCCACAGCCACCTGTAATACGGGCCTGGCTACCAAGTGCAATCTAGCCCAAATCCCTACCCTGGCGAACAATGCAACAGAGTTTCACCTCCCAAACTCTGTGGGCACCAACTGCTTGAGATTCTTTCAGATCTCCGGTAGGACTGGTATGTATGGTCCACCAAACAGGACATGGGAATATGTACGTCCCGTCCAAGTAATAAAGGTGGACTGGAGCACAATTCTCGAAATGGTGAAATATTCCCCTGTCCTCTCTCCAACAGCAACCCTATTAAAAAAACTAAACCGTCGCCCTAGTTACGACCCAAATTCTACCCCAAAATCGTAACTGCAGTTATCACTAGCCCCTCCCTTAACCCTGAAATTGATCCTAGCTTGCCTTACCGTTAACTTTAAATCTGACTTTAAACCTAATCATTAGCCAGACCCTAACCTAAATTTCGCTGGAATTTGGCCCAAAGCCGCCTGTATTGCAAGCGGTTCCCGTTTTTATGTCCTATTTAGGGGGCTATATATGTCAGTTCTACCCAGACCTTTAGAGCAGCCACTCATATTTTGCCGCTTCTATGCTGAGGAATTTCTGTATACTTTCCGGCTAGGCCATGACAGTTCGACCGTCTCAAGCGACGATGTCCACGTGCGCTCCACAGCAAGGTGAAACAGGCACGGTGACTTTCGACGCATCTACCTCACTCTCCCCACCTTGACCCGGCGTCAAGACAGAGTCAAGAAGACCGGAGGCGGGAGAGGGTTCAAGTGGATGGCGCGGCCGAGTCCGCACCTTGGCGCTCCACTCCACACCCCCTGATCTGCAACAAACACTCGACCAGGATTTTAGCCAACTTTAATAACACTACGACGGGTGAGAAGGAGGAGGAGGATGACAGGG